TTTAAAAAGGGAATTTTTTTAATTGGACATGAGAAGAGAATGCTTATTCCTCCTTAGGTTTGATTAAGACAACAGAGAACTTGTCTTTGTCTTTACTAATCTTATCTTCCTAAGACTTGAAAGTACTTATTGGTATAATTGGCTTATTCCATGAGGCCTTTGATGTTGTTCAGAGTGATGGGTTCATTAGGATGTTTAGTTTTGAATGAAGTGGCCATTACAGGATTGTCGTTATCATCTTTTGATTTAGGCAATTGGTATTAGTATGTTGGAGGCAGTTTACTCTAGACTATCTGACCATCTTTGATCTGCCAAGAGATGACATTAGTATTAGCATGATCTTTTATAATGTCAACCTACCACGAATAATTTAAATTGTTCTTAATGGTGTAAGCATGAAACCACTCAAAGAATGAGATATTTTGTTTTACTTTTTTTAGATTTTTATAAAATTTCTTTCGGATATCTTTTCTATTACTACTCTTGTAATTATGGAAAAATCATTCTCTTTGGGGTTTCCAATCCTCAAAATAGAAATATTTCCTTTGGGTTTCCTTATCTATTCAAACTTATGAAATAATATCATAAGACTCATTAAGGGAGGAATAAGTTACAAATTTGATACTCTGATTTTCTTTTTTCTTATCAGTTTGATAAGTTGTTCTAGGAATACTAGAAGTATCTAAACCCTGTAAGTTTAAGTGAGAAAGGACATGACATACAGATCTTGGTATCTTAGATCTAAAAGTTTGGGATCTAGAAGAGAATGATCTCCTCGCAAAAGCATAATCAGATTATTTAAAGGCTTCAATTCTGGAAGAGAAAGAATTTCTTCTGTTAAAAGTTATTTCAACTTTTTCAAAATTTTCTTAAGTGATATATTGGATTTGAGAAGTAGGTCGGGGAACTAAAAGTGTAGCTTTGTCCATAACTCATTTCTCTAAGAGAATAAACCCATCCCATTTAATAGTTCTTGGAAGAGACATATTAGCCCTAGTCATTTCTGTAATAAATAGGGTTGTTTCTCCTTTTTGTAGCTTGAGAAGGGCTCTAGATGCACAAGAGTTCATGACTTTGTACTGGATCCTATATATTAATGCTACGAGAATTGATCCCTCTTCCGTATCTAAGCCATGAAAGTGAATATTGAGAAACAGAGTCTAGGATATTTTTATCCATAAGACACAGTTTTATTAGGGTAACAGTTAAAGTAGACTGGTCCTTGCCCAAGACTGGTTTCTACTGTTCCTATCAGGGAATCTTTAAACCTATTGTGCTTAATATCTCTAAGACACATTAAGACAGCGGCATCTATACTCATGTCTATCAAAGGTTTGATGGCAACTTGGACACACCCTATATGGAGGTATTTGTATTTTCTCATATGCTCACTTACCAAATGTTTCGACAAAAGATGGATTCCCTTATATCTTGACCTAGAGGAATATTATTTTCTACAATTTTGATGATGTAATCAGAACCATTTGTCTTGATTTGGTCTTCAGGAACATATAATGTATCCTGAGCTGAAATGGTCCAGTCATCCATACTTCGATTAATCTCTTCAAAACGAACTTCTTCGTCAAAAAGATTATGTTTGGGAGTAACTTTAGGAGTTTGTTTCTCCTAATCATTAAGAAAAAGATTAGTTTTGGAAGGAGAGGATGAGTTAGAATTAGAACAAAGAAAAATGTGAGAAAAGGAACACAAGAGACGAGACATCATAAAATTAAATTATGGTTCATTACCCTCATTTGGTTCTATTAAAATATATCTGTAAGATTATCTATAACTCTTTTTTCTAAATTTGGTTATTTGTGGACTTTTTTTTTTAAACGTAAAAATGTCTTTACTATAGCTATAAGCTTCTTATATTCTTTCATTTCTTTTGAATAAAGTCTTGTCAAATCAGTCTTACTGCCCTTCACCAATGAAACTTACTGTTGTAGCTTAATTCAAGAGAAATAAAGAATTGTTGTACTTTCAGTAAAGATCTTTCATGAAAAATAAATTTACCGAATTAAAATACTATACATGAAATATAAATTCAGATCTAGATAAACAGTCATAAATAATCCACAAATCTATTCCTACTTCTCCATCAGACTTTGATATTAGAGACTCAAGACTGTTTATCCTACCAGATAAACGGTCATGAAAATTTTACAAAAAGCTAGTACGATTAAGTGCTTAGACCTAAGTCATGAACTAATTACTTTTTTAAAAAAATATTTTAGTTGGCTTTTTTATAAGCTAATCATATACTATCTTATGAAATAATTTATTAAAAATATTTATTGTATATAACATTTTCTATTATAAATATGTAGAAATTGCTTATAAATAAATAAAGAAGAATTAAATTTGTATATTATTAAATATTTATAATAATTTTTATTATTAAATAATATTAATAAAAATATAATTATTTATTATCAAATTATTTATATATTTCTTTAATTTTTATTTGTATTATTAATAATTATTAAATATTTAGAACGAGTTCGTGGGCAGGCAAAATTGACATGTCTAGTTTTAATCCATATTAACAAATTTAAAAAGTGAGTTAACCTACCTCTGACTCTAACCTAATTTATATTTTTTTAATATAAAAGTTAAAATAAATTTACTACGTATAAAAGTTAAAAAATTAGGAAGATATAACAAGTTTGATGTGGTTTAATGTGAATCAACGTTAGCAATTGGTTACCTTGTTTCAAAGGGGAAACTGGAAGGAATAATTTCATTTTTGACAGAATAAAAGAGACGATTACAAATGAGGGTGAGTGGAAAAGCACCAACCGTTGCAGAAGAGTTGGATCAAGTAAGTATCAGAACAAATGAATTGCACTTTCTCGAAGATTCATTTATAATGTTTGTTTCAGTGGTAAGAGAAACAAACAAATGGTCAAAATACGAAAACAGATAAAAGAGGGAAGAGAAAAAAGTATATTGCACCTCCAAATCCAAATTCGTGTTAAGCTAAGTTTCTTGATTCTCGCCGCTTTGTTCTTAAAGAAGCATTAGAGCATATCTATAGATTCTCCCCAATCATTCATCTCTCGCCCTTTAAAGAAACACCATTCTCCCTCTCACACGTTGCATTGATACACTTAAGTTTTTATTGTGGGAAAGCAATGTTCGCAAAATTCCGTAGCCTCACCCTTGACTGTGGTTGATAAATTAATTTTTATTTTTTAATGGAATATATATATATATATATATATATATATATATATATTTAAGAAATCTATTTTTAAAATTTTTAATTTAAAAAATGATTTATTAATAAATTATGAAATACTACCTATAGAAAATAAATATATATTATCGTATATTTATACTTTATTTCATAAATATTTACAGTTTAAATAATCAAATTAGTATCTTATATATTAAATAAATTAAAGTATTTGCTTATACTAATAAATGGATTAATATCATATTAACATAAAATTTTTGGATAAATAAGAGTATAAAAAGAATTTAATAATTAATACATTTTAAAAAATATTTATTTTTAATTAAAATGGAAATATATTAGTTATTATTTCTTATAAACAGATAAAAAAAAGTAACGTATAATAATTATTTGAGTTAAGTCATTAAGATTTTTTTTTTTCTTTTGGTTGTGGTTAGGTCTAAGATTGAATCACATTGGTTATAGTACAATTGATTATGGTAAAATTCAAACCCTTGCACTGATCAGAGGCTCTATTATCTTCATTCCAGAAGACGAATAAAATGTCTAGAGAACATATTACAGGTTTAAATTACACTCCTCAAGCCAATTAATAAATTGTGCTTTGAAGGTTAGAAGCTAAAAAACTATAAATTGGAATAAAGAACATATTCTTTCTTTCTTTCTTTCAAAACTTTAGGTTGCGTGCATGTCATGCCCCACAGGATATATTAGACATATATCCACAGGATTTCATATTCTTTGCGTCATTTTAAAACACTCCATTGTCAAAAGATGAGAATAAATCACTGGATTTATTGTTATAAGCTTTCAAACAATAAAATATTGCAAAATAATTTGATTTCAACTCAATTACTCCTATTCAAAGGTGCTAAATTCTTTTTCTGTAAAAAATGAAATTCCTAGATTTGCAGCATAAACTTCCTTTATGCCTCATAACTTTATATATACTAACATATTCTTAATATGACTTTTATTTTTACTTAAACATATTTTAGTTTTCATAAAATATTTTATAAATTTTTCTCTTAGTAACTAATAAAGTCAATGAAGTTTTAATCTTTGATAAGGTACGAAAAGTAACAACCTTTGATTTTGGTAATTTTTAAAAATTAAAAATATATAAATTTTTGTAAAAAAAAATAAGATAAAAAATATTATAGTTTTAAGGACTAAAATATATTTAAGCTATATCTATCTTTATATTATAAATTTAAGTCTTCATTTTTTAATTAAGACGTTTTAATAAAGTTATTCACTTTCTTATCAAGAAACATGATTTTCCCAACTTTAAGTATCATAAACTATATATTACTTAATTTAAATTTAATTTCTGATACACAATATTAAAAGAATATATATATATATATATATATATATATATATATTCTTTATATATAATCCATTTACTAAGAAAAAGGGAAAAATTAAAGGAATAACATATAATCCAAAGTAAAGAAAAAAATTTCGGATATATTCTCTTGTGGGACACGACCAAATATGCCTCATGTCTACCTCTTTCTTTCTTTCTTTCATGCGTTGATTCCCATGCATGAACTCACTTACCATCATCCCCATGACCACCACCTCCATCCCTCAAGATTGCTTCATCCATAAGCTAAATCGATACGCACATCCCCAAATTAAACAGAATCCAAACAAAAACCTTGTATATACATATTTCAATTCTCAAGTGTTAACATCTATGTGTGTAACACTCATCTCTCTCTATCTAAGTAACATTTTCCCATATATTTTCTACCCTCACTCCACTTTAATAACTAGCCAAACCCAACGATAATTCACATCACAAGACCCTCCACCATGTATACCTTCAATTCTTACAACGACAAAGAACTTAACCTTACATCAAGCACAAAGTACAGCGAGATATCTCATTTCAGTCACAAACAGCACAAACTAAGGTTCGAATACTCGGAATTCCCCTTCAAATGCGATGGGTGCAAGGAGATTGGCATAGGCTCACGCTACAAGTGTTCCCTCTGTGACTTCGACCTTCACATGCACTGTGCAATCCCTTCCCCAACTCTGTTCCACCCATTCTACCCCAAATGCTGCTTCCAATTCCTCTCTCGTCCCCCAGGCGAGACTGCGCGTTACTGCAACGCGTGCGAGAAGGGCGTGAACGGGTTCCTTTACCACTGCGTGTCGTGCGGCTTCGACCTGCACCCATGCTGCGCGAAGCTTCCGACGGTCCTCGAAGACGGAGAAATGAAACTGTTTCTGAATGGGAAGGTGGGTGCGGCGTGTCAGCGTTGCGGCCAAAAGGGGCGTGGTTGGAGTTACAGGTCATCGTGTAAGAGGTACAACTTGCACGTGGGGTGTGTGAGAGAAATGGTGGTGGAGAGTTGGCACGTGGGAAAGAGCAATGGGAATGGGTTGAAGAGTGTTTTGCAGAGTGGGTGTCACAAGGGAAGGAGTAAAGGGGGTAAGGTCAGAAAGTGCTGTGAGGTGGCAGGCTTCGCTCTGCAGGTTGTGGTCTCTGCTGTGTTGGGAGATCCAACGGCTCTCGTTGCCGGGATCATGGGCTCCTTCATCTCGCGCGCTTAACTGTCTTTCATAAACTCTCTAAACAGTGTCAACATCTATTTAACATGTTTCTATCTTTTATCATCTATTTTATTTATTACTCTCTTTCTTCTTCTTTTCTCCAGCTATAAAAATGTGGTGTATTTAACTTATGGGATTAATCAAGGGATTATTGAGTTACTAGATGTGCCTTTTACAGAGATGTTTATGTAAGTGAGAGAATAGGATATGTTTATATATATATTTAACTTACTAATTATGATTAATCTAATTAATGGATATATTTATACCATGAAATTAAGTTTTCTTAGACTCCTTTTATGAAGCGTGTTGGGTTTTTATTATGTGGGTAGCATTTTTATTTTTTTTTTGATAATTTCAGTACACTTCATTGGATTGTTTAAAACCATCTGATGATACTGCCATGATTTTTTTCAATTACTGTTGTATGAAGGTTGGAGTTACAATGTGATTACAGAAAATTCAAGCAAATTTAACTTGTAATATAATAACATTTATATAATGGTGTGTGGTGAGGTATTTAAATTTTTTTTTTATAGATATCGTATTTAAAAAATTTAGATCAATAAAAATGAGACATGTATCAATTTAAAAGAAAGTTATTATATATAATTTATTTAAAGTTAATATTATTTATATTATTTGCTAAATAATAATAATAATAATTATTATTATATATTATGTATATTTAATTTTTTATTTTTATAAATTTTTAATTTTAAATAAAATATAATTTATATTAAATTTATTTAATAATAAATTGTTATATTTAAATAAATTAAGAAGCGGTTAAGTTTTTGAATAAAAATAAAATGCAATCAAAATTAAATTAATTAAAATTTAAAAAATAAATAATAATATTATATTTATATATTTCTATATTTTTAATTCTATTTTTATTAATATTTATTTATTTAATTATTATATTAATATATTATGTTATAATTATTTTTATTTATAATAAATAAAAATTGCTTAATATAAATTATATTTTATTTGAAAAATAAAAAAATTTATATTAAAAATTTATAAAAAATAATAAAAAATTTAAATATATAATATACAATATATATATAAAATAAAATTATGTAAAAAATAATATAAATAATATAAATTTAAATAAATTATATATAATAATTTTTTTTAACTTAACACGTGTCTCTTTTTTATTGGTCTAAATTTTTTGGATACATTACCTATAAAAAAATTTTAGGGTACCACATAATTTACCTTAATTGCTAGGCTTTTAAAATTAAATAAGATTTTATCTTCCAACTATCTCACTGACGTAATTTATGCATTTATTTTGATTTATTTTTTAAAAATTATTTATTTATATTAAATTTTTTAGACAATTGAATTTGAGAAATGATTGCTTTCCTTGTAATAAATTATTGCATATGTGCTAGAATATTGATATTAAAATACAACAGTAAATTTTCAGACCTTGATTTTTACAGTTTTCTAATATTTCTCTCTTTGTTAATATATTCTTACCTTACTCATTTATTTATAGTTTTTTCTCCTTTTTTTTAATAATTTTATACTCAGAAGTGTACATCCTAAAAATCATTTTTCTTTATCAAATATGAGAAAATATGGGGCATGGTGATTGGAATAATCTCTTTAGAGTGGGAAGGCTTGGAAAAATTAAACTTGGATAGACAAAGTTGCTATTGTGACTCAAAAGTTTAAAGAAATAAAGAACAAACTTTGATTAAAACTATTGCGACTAGAGCTCTTTATAAGCCATGAAGTATAATAGAATAACACAAAATTACAATTTAAATGGGAACACAATATGAATTTTACAGCTAATAACTGGAAAGATGATGTACATTTAATGAAAGGTAAAACTTTTTAAACTCATACTGATATAGTTGAGTATGCCTTTTGCATCATTTTCATTTATCACTGGTATATTAATTTTTTTTTAAATATACTTTTCTTGAAAAGAAATGATAGATTTTTAAGAACATAATTTAAAAAAATATTTTTTATTAAAAATTGTCATTACTTTTTTATAAAAACATTGAAAAGAATATAAAATATTAGTAAGAAAGTAATAGAAAATAATTTATCTTATCTTGATGACTCTTAACCCTAACATTTTTTTCAAAATATAATCTTAAACTATGATGATAGGATATGACAACTTTAAATTAAAGGATAAAACTATTCTATCCTATTAATCAACAAATGTCAAAAATATATATGATATGATATGATACGTTATCTTATCTAGTCATCTTATCGTGTTTTACGAAACAGATTCTAAAAGTAGCATAGATAATAATAGTTTGATAACTCAATCTTATAAGCATTGTCATTAATCTTTTACATCACTTGAAATGATCCATCTACTCTTAGAAAAAGTTTGACATTTTGTTGTTTAAGAAATCTTTCTTTTCTCAAGTGAATCTATACTATGTCTCATTCTTTCAAATTGCCTTGCCTCTTATGCTTATCTCATCGAGCTTTGTATTTTGAGTTATGCTTCTTAATCTGTGTTTGAACTTGCTCATGCATTTTCTTAATCCTTTTTTAATCTTTAGTCTACTTTTACATTGAATTAATTATTAATGGAGTTAATTTTAAAGAATAGAAATGTTTGATACTATACACTGCTTTCAAAGGATATTTTCCCATAACTTTGATTAATGGGATTGTTGTAAGCAAATTTGATTTAAGAAAAAATAAGGTCTAATTAGTAAAGATTGTTTTGATAAAATTTAACAATAAATCACTACAAGAAATGTGCCACTTAACATCAATTCATTAGTGGTAGTTAGCAATAATTGTCAATAAAATATTTAGAAAATAATATTTAAAGGCAATTTTAGTCACTGCCACAAAAAATGCAGGATATAGCAGCAGTTTTCTGCAACCGTGGCAAATAATACAAGATTTAGTAGCGGTTTTCTATAACCGCCACAAAAAATTGAGAATTTTTTAGTGGCGATTTTGTGTAACCACTGCAAAAAAAAAAGAGAGAGATTTAGCGGCAGTTTTACATAAATGTCACAAAAAATGCAGGATTTAGCGTCAATTTATGATTACAGAATATAAGAAACATCATTCCACCCGCATTCATTCTCCATCACCCACTCAAAGCTAACCTTTTAGTTCCTCCTTGGCCTCATTGAGTTCCACTGACACGTGGTCGCACACGGGTCAAAATAAACCTAATTATTATAGTACAAGGTAAGTAACTAAGGTCGTTTCTCAAGAATCACAAGGTCAAATTAATCTATTTAGAGAGTATATAAAACGTGGAGTTTGTTTATAAGAGAAACCAAAAATGCACTTAATTATAATTAGAATGAAGAGTGAACAAAAATTGAAATTCCAATCTAAGAATTAATAAGAAAAAAAAATGACTACTCTATCACTGAATTTTTAAGAGAGTACATCAACAAACAATTCAGTAATTAACAATGAATCCGAATGAAACCTCAATTCGAACTCAGCATTCACATGAAAACTTTCATGCATTAGATTAGCACATAATTAATTAAAATTCAAAAAACTCTAGATCCTAATTGAATTGTGCTAATTTAATTTACCAATGCCGTTAATCGTAGTTTTCAAACCTGAAAATCCAATTCATGTTCCTTAAAACTCAATTACATACATCAATCGAATAATACGTAATCAACTAGATGCATAATCATCAATCCAAACGAACAACTTCAATTCAAAAATATAATTAGCAAAAGGAGAAAATAAGGAATAGATGAAACCGAAATTGTTATTGAATTTATGCCAATGTGAGATCAATCCTCAAGAGTGTCACGTCTCTTTTAATCCTTGAATTAGATGGAAATCTAAGCCTCCATGGATGGAGGGAAACAAGTCGTAAAAGGGGAGAAAAAAAAATGAAAACAGAGAAGAGAGAAGAAGAGAGGAGAGGAGCCAAAAAATTAAAATTCCAAATTCAAAATTTAAAAATTTCGTTTGTCACTTTGTTCTTTTTTTTCGGCTTTGAAAATGGCCTCTTTTTGGTTCGTGGCCTAAGGAAAATTGTAGCCTTGGATGTTAGCTTCAAAACGCCACTTGAATGGGCTTAATCGGATGTCTGTGGACTAAGATATGACCCAAATACTGCACCTTGCTCAGGATCTGCGACTGCAGTGTTCTGACTTTTTTCAGGCCCAGTTTCAGCTTCTTATTATTAAAATTGGTTTCTAACCTCTGCATAGGAATCGTGCACCGTTCTCTTAGCTTTCCTACAAATCAAGAATCACAATGAAAGGAGTTCTACAACTCAAGATATGGTCCAGAAACCAAAACAGTATCAGAATTTGCCAAATACTGAAAAAATTAAATAAAGCCCAAATAAAATTCAAACATCATAAAATGATCCAATTCAACCAATTAAGCACAAAAGAGGATTAATGAGCTAGAAATGAGAGAAAATAATGTTATAAAAATCCAATTGATCATCCACCACCACCCGCCTCACTGCCACCACCGCCAATGCCACCACCTTCAAATTATCTTCTTCAACCATGACAATCCTGGTAATCTTCTATTATCCTTTACACTTTCTCCAAAAATGACTCTCTTTCAATGACTCTACACTATAAATTATATAATAACACATTGTGATGTTAAAAACTAAATAGAATATGAACCCAAATAGTAAAAGAAAGAAATGAGTAGAAGATAAGAACTAGAGAAAAGTGTGGAAGCCAAACTTTAAAATAGAGCATTATTTCTTGCTGTCACAATAAAATTTAGAGGCGGTTAAAACCGTCATTAATCGTAAAATTTAACCGCAACAAATTAGCGATTTTTTTTAGTGAATTTACTAAAATTCTATGAATTTTCTTTATTTGATTATTTGTTTGAATGTAGCTATTAAATGTAACTTAGTACCCTTCTTCCATAAGATTCTCCAAAAATGACTTAAAATTTTGACATCTTAATCAAAAGTGCGGGTTTAGGAATATCATTAATATGAACCATTTTTTTAAATAGATTGATTATGCATGTGAATACACATTTTTTTTCT